GGATATTATATTTTACTTACTAGCTTTGCCTGCGTTCCCGTAGAAAATGTAGCCTTTGTGTTATTCCACCCTTGTTCCGAATTTCATCCCAACCGCTTCAGTCTTTTACGTGAAGAAGTAACAAACAAACAACGTTTCGCATTTTTAATATTAGTAGAATTTTACTTAAGTTTTAAATACTTTCACCCATAAATACTGATCATACGTGCACAGTACATAAACAATATGTGGTCGGGAATTATTTGTACTTACTTATGTACTTCGTAAAGTATATACAGGCATACCTAATGTAGGTTCCTACATATACATATGTATGTGGCAATCATTTATTTTATAGCAAACAGAAAAATACATCTAACACTTTAAATACCGACGTGAATTATTATAAAAACGACGTTTATTTAAAGTACCTTTCATTTGTCATTGAAAGTTTTTACAAAAGTATTGAGAAATGTTATTCAGGACGTCATTATAATGCTACTTATTGTCATAGTCATTAGTTTTATATATAATTCTTTGACAAATCGATGAACATTAATGTCATTATTTCCTTTATAATAGGTCGTTATGTTGTCTTGATAAAATTCTTGACATTCATTTGTTCGAAGATAAAGAAGTGACTGTGTAGCAGTTAGACTGTATAGTCTATAGTCTAGACAACTAGGTCTATTGATGTGCAGCACAAGGAGTCTATGCATTTTGTAAATGTAGTTGTTAATCGAATTACTTGTAGTATATTCAATAAAACTAGCTGTTGCCCACGACTTCGTCCGTGTAAAATATGAATTTTAGAACATAACTTTGTATTTCAGTTTTTCTAAAATAAAAGTAGTCCTTTGTCACTCCTTAGTACAGCAGCTACCTGCCAATAAAACTTGCAAAATCGGTCCAACCATTCCCGAGATTAGCCAGTACAAAAAGACAGACAAACATTGTAAAAAATAATTTAGGTATGTGTATCGTATCTATATTCATATGCATGTAGTAAAAAGCGGTAATTTTAATATCACAAACAGACACTATAATTTTCTTTATTTGTATAGATAATTAAGCCCATCATACTGCTAACTGTGTGAAAAAGAATAATAAAGGTAAATTAGGTTTCTAATAATATTTCCATCTTTTTGGTCATAACCAATTGTTAATATCAAGAGAACATTAGAAAACTTAAAATACCAGTATCTCCGAGTCTGGATTATTCTGAATTGTGCGCAGGGTATATGCATACCCCTTTTAAAAATAGATCGTCTAAAATGGATTCAAAACATTTTAAAAGTTAAAAATGGAATACCAGTGATTCCAAAGACAGATAACAAATAATTCTTATTAAGTTATTTCTTTTAATTTAGTTTTTATTGTTGACTAAAGAACTCCCTTTAACTGCACAACCTTCTCATAAAATATTTAACATAAAGACACTAAATATATACAGAAATAAACGTTTCATACATTAACATTTACTTTAGTAATGACGTCACGACCGGCAAGTACCTTCAGCGCACAACACAAGGAGCACAACAATAGCCGGCCACAACGCGCGCACGCGCACCTCTCGCGCAAACTGTATACGAACAGTGATTAGTGGACTGTATTTTATTAATGTTTATGTGAAATAAAATATTATTTGGTGAGTTATTATATGGAATTAATATTTTAGATTTTAGAAAAAAAACAATGTTTTAGATTCAACGTGTTAATGTAACCTAGCTTCACTGACTGACTGACTGACAGACTTATTTTGTATTTGTTGACGTTTCAAAAGTACCAAATTATGGTTTAATTAAAATAAACTCTTTGACTTTAGTAAACATGTAAATTGTATATTTTTGTGGTTATAATTATTATCGAGTAAATTATTACTGATTTAGTTATATACTGTGGTATAATTTTGGGTTTAAAAAATGTAAAATTAAATTCCTAAAAATAATAGTCTTTAATTTGTAGGAGTCAAATTATTTATGTAGTTCTCCGTTCAATTAAAACATACAATTTGTAAGTTTAAAGTTCAAAGTTAGTTACCATATTAATTGATGTTAATTATTGTATTATTTTCGTATTGTGTCGCATTCGAAAACAACTGGCTACCTAACTTGATAACTACGTTTTATATTTTAAAAATTTAGTTTCATTTAGTTCAGTTTTATTTGTTGTATAGTAGGTAGTGCACCTACTTAAATATATGTAGTCCGTAACACACCTACATGTATCTGGAAGATAGTACTTATTTATATGTAGTTATTTAAAAAAAAATCACCAACCAACTTCAAACGTTTTTTTTTTTCTTTTTTTTCTGACTTATGGTTTTTTTTTTTTTTTTTTTTTTTTTTTTTTTTTTTTTAAGGGGGGAAAATCATCGAATGACTGCTCCCGCCTGGGTGAGGCGGAAGGGAGTGTCAGACTCTTACTGACTAAAAACCACCCCGTTCCTTCTCCTGCACGTCGAGCCGGAGCCCCGGTTACCCGTTAGGTTCTCCGCGACTCCGAATCGGCATGGGCCCTACTGGGCCCCATCTGTGGTGGTCTGATGGCTCTTTGAGGCGCGCGCGGAACGCGACGCGCCGTACGCTCGGGTCTGTTTCTGGTCGGACGGGGAGCCACCCATGCTCGCCGTCCGCAGGCCCTCGCTTACGGTGGCCGGAGATCGTCCCGCGATCCCCGACGCCCGGTGTGTCCTTCGCGATGGCTGGGTTGCGAGGAGGCAGCGCTGCGCTGCCTCACGCGTCCCGCCTCCTCCTTAGCTAGCATGACTGCTTCGCAAAAGGAGGAGACGGCATCCCAGTCCCCCTCGCTCCGCATCATGGCCTGCACTAGGCCCGGACGCGAGAGGTCGCCATCGCCGATCACTTCCCTGAGGGCACGGCGGTGCTCAGCCCACGCAGGGCATTCCGCTACGGTGTGTTCCACCGTGTCCTCAAGGCGGTCCTCGCAGTGATGACACCCGGGCGTTTCCTCCCGCCCCATCAGACACAGGTACCTCCCGAAACTTCCATGTCCGGTGAGGACCTGCGTCAGGCGGTAGGTGAGGACGCCGTAGTGTCTCTCAAGCCACTCCTCAAAGAGGGGACTTACCGCTGCAATGGCAGCGAGCCCATTCTGACTTATGGTAAATTTTTCCAACACTAGATTAATTTTAACTGAGGAATAACTGAATATTTGACAATTCTTCCATAATAAAAACTGTCAAATGTCAATTTTATTCTACAGTTCTTTTTTCTTCCTCTTTGGCAACGGAGTCTCCAATACAATGTTGTCGACTATACAGCCAGCGTCGTATTCTACGGTTAAGAATTAATTGAAGATTGGAAAATCGGCCCTCCAATCTGTATTTATTCATTTTTGTAGTATTTTAATTCATTTTGAAATATTATTGGTTTTTAATGAACCATAGCTGTATTAATTTAATTATACTAAATTCATAATCCATTGTTGAACCCATTATCGTGATTACCTGACCTGTATCGGTATCGACCTATCAAAGTGTGGTACAGGACATTTGTTGAGATTTAAGTGTATCATGTAAACTGACAGTTACGAGTGGATGTAGTACTAATCTTTCAAGTGTAATTCATTTAATCCTCTACGGATAACGTATACATACTTCTTACTTGCATAATGTTTGAAGCTGAAAAGTTTGTTTGTTTGAACGCTCAAATCTCAGGAAAATATTTTTGTATAAGTAGTTCATTTACCGAGGAAGGCTATAGGCTAATAATACATTGAAATCGTAACGAAGGTGCTAGTAAGTAAAAAATACTGGTAATAAATTCATTGGTGGTCATTCATCATTCATCAACAGCCTATAAATGCCCACTGCTCTTCTCACACGGAGAAGGTTTGAGCAATTATCACTACTCTTGCTCAATGCGGGTTGGCAATTACAAACTTATAATTAGAAAGCCCAGGTTTCCTCACGATGTTTTCCTTCAGCGTTTGTCTGTGGTATCTAGATAATCTAAGAGAGTATATAACTCGGAAACAGTCACATTGGTAATTACCGTTGGTAATTTTCGAACCCGCACCCTCATGCATGAGAAGCGGGCGTCTTGAACCTCCGGGCCACCACCGACCAATATTAAAAGTGAAATCATAATAATAATAATGTAGTCGATCTAATGTAACGACTTTGCCGGCCCATCCACCACCTGACCGGCATCTTAGTAATTAATTTGTATTCTGTGGTTATCCTCGTCTATTTTTAAATCTACAATGACATAAAAAATTATATTTATTATATCTAGTTAGGATCGTTTTTGCTATATATTAGTGTCAAACCCTGCTCCCCTGACCTTGTGTCCTCTTCGATGTGACATTTCTTGCTTCTATATAAAACAAAGTTCAACTGACATAGTAGCTAATATATGTAAATATTAGTCGCTTCATTAGTCAAACAGTTGCTAGTACGACAACCAAGCAAGGGAATAACATCTTTTTTTTATAAATCAATTTGCTACATGGCAGATGTTAGGCCAATTAGGTGGCCATAAGCATTGTTGCTACCGCCAGTATTATAAAAAAGAAGTCTTCGTGCCTCAACTGACTCAATTCTCAAAACAAATAAACCGTGTATAAGTTCGAACAAATATACAAAACATAATAATAATTATAAAAACTAGTTCCAGCCGCGACGACGGCAAACGAATAAAATTGTACAAAATAAAACAGTATACACCCACAACCAGTCTCATTTTATTCACCACATGAACCCATTTTTGCACTGGATTTTCAGATCTCGGCTTAAACATTCTCTTAGTTCTCTGACACTCCCTCCCGCTTCACCCAGACGGGAGAAACACTCGATGATTTTCCCCCATTCAAGAAAAAACATTCCCTTAGTTAATGAATCCGGTTTATAAAAAGTAACTTGACACTTTGCTTGGTTATGCCCAAATAATTCTATCTTTCGCGGAAGTATGAAAAAGCTATGAAATTGTTTTTTAATTCCTGGGTCAATTGTTCTCTGAACTCTCGTACCAGTGCATACGAATCTAGATGTTGCCATAATGAGGAGTAAGAGGTACATAAGTCACCTGCACAAACGTGTCTTAATCTAAAATTAGGTAGTACTATAATTTGAATCTATTCACTGCATATGAAATCAAAGTTGATAAAAATAAATAATCTCGGACCTCGAAAAAACCGATGCGATTAAGAAAATAATGCCCACAGGGCACCTTGAGGCGCCGGTAGGGCACCCTGAGGTGCCCGCAAGGCATCTTGAGGCGAGGTGACGGGCGATTAGCGACCCCGTGGGCTACCATCATCTCGAGTGCTCCAGGGAGAAGTCACCATTCCTTATTCTCCGGTTTGTCTTAATTAGCTGGCTGGAGTGAACGATGACAAGGAACAGGTCTCCCATCTCCGGCTTGCCTTCATTGGCCATCCAGAGTGGAGTCCCGAGAGCAGTGCTCCTGCTCGGAGGGTAAGAAACTATTCGTAAGTCGCGAGTGAGCCAGGGATGCAGGAGGCTTCGGCTGGAGCAGATGATCTGAGTAGAAAGCGGTGGTAGTTTCTTAACCCTTATGCCACTCACATTCTCGTTGTCCCTCTGTTGCTATATGTAGCAACCATTCCCGGAGCCCGGTCGGTAAGTTGGCGAGTCTCCGCCTGCCATTTTTACGTGTAATAATTACATTGTTTCGGCAGGTACCATAGTCATCCATAGTTCCCAATTTACCAGTCCACAGCAACCCATCCATAGCCCTAACTCCTAATATCATAATTAGGCCTTTGATAATCTCACTCACACGACGACAACACAAGCGTTGTTTCACGTTGGTTTTCTGTGCGGACCATGGCCGTCATCTATATCACTCCGCACGCTATTCCATAAATAATAAATTAATTAACACGATGTATACAACGTTTTCAGTGCCATGAAGTGGTTAGTGCTGCTGTCGCTGATAGCGGCGCGCATGGTGCAGCAGCCGACGCAGCCGGTGCGCACGCGCAGTGGCCTCGTGCGCGGCACCGTCAGTCGGAATGGCAAGTTCTTCCAGTACTTCGGCATCCCGTACGCTACTGTCGATGATAGCAATCGATTCCAGGTAGATATTCTTACAATTCCTATTATTTTTAATTGTGCCTTCAGTGCCTCAGTACTCGTTTATGAAAGGGGGAGCAGTAACGGTCATTTAGGGCAAAAATTTAAGTTTGAAGTAATCGAGTTTCACCTGATGTTACTATTTGACAAACTCAAAATAATAATATCGGAAATAGCGAACACAAACAAGGCAAAGTGCGACATCTTTAACTAAATTGTTTATGTTAAAATAAGTAGGTGCAGCAGTAGTTGTCATAAGTTACGCGACAGGTCGCAGCAGCGTACTCCAGCAGCCAGTACAGCTGCACGATAAATAAACTCTCACAATATTCCACTAGAGGTACTTACGACGTAGTTCAGAGTTCACATCGTTACAGATCGGAACTCCGGCATAGTTGAGGGAACTTGCCAACAACTAGTTATTAGCCGAGTTACCCTCCGGCCCTCCGGCCCTCTAGCCTCGTCTATACCCAGCTTTACTGCTGTTTAGGAATCAAAGAAAAACAAACGGCGCAACTTTGAAGGCTTAGGGATGTTGTTCTTGCAACTGACGGCTGGTACCTTCTAGAAATACGACACTGATTTTATTGTAGCACAGTAAAGTAAGATATTTATACGTACTGGTTTATCTGGTTATTTGTTTTTGTTCGCTTAAACGTTCGTTAAGTTCGTTGCGGACGTTTAAGCATTAAGTATTTTGGCAAACAGCAAGGATATAACATAATGTATTTTTTTATGGCATAAGCCGGTAAACGAGCAGACGGACCATCTGATGGTAAGCAATCGGCGTCGCCCATGGACACCACCAGAGACGTTACAAGTGCGTCACCGGCTTTTTGGAGATTAGGAGTTTGAGGATCGTTAGGGATTCAGGGATTGGGGAGATTGGGGAAGGGGAAGGTAATTGGGCCTCCGGTAAACTCAGTCACACGACGAAACACAACGCAAGCGTTGCTTCACGTCGGTTTTCTGTGCGGCCGTGGTATCACTCCGGTCGAGCCGGCCCATTCGTGCCGAAGCATGGCTCTCCCACACTTAATGTCTTTTATGTATGTCTTTTATCTTCTACAAAACCTTCTTCCTTCCTAGATTCCCCAATAGTTAGATGGTCGAAAGAGTGATAAAGATCTGCATAAACCACAGACACTGTTATGTTAATTTTAACAAATTACCTACATGTGTATTAATAGAATGCAAAGTCTCCTTAAACCGGCTTTAAGTAATAACTATTGAATATTAATTCGATTGTGTTTATAAAGGAAAATTTTGCTCAGATTCAATGTCAAGTATAAACATTGATTGTATGAATACGCAGATATAATGCGCTTACAAGATCTCCCGACACTGACAAACTCAAAAGAAATACGTACTCGTATATAAAATTGTACTAGATATAACTTGTAGTGTATTCGTCTCTAGCTAGATTCAGGTTTAATATTCACGATATACATACATACGTACTGGTGTTGGGACGAGTCGAGCCTATTGCCAATATCGGTCACTCCTCGTCCAATACACAATTTCCTAACAACAAATCTAATATCTGACTTCGGATTCCTGCTGTGACCAGTCTACTGTATGTCATCTTTGAAGTTATAGCGAGGTGAATTGAGACCTTTTGCGGAAATCCAGGGGGCAATTTTCTTCTACAAAAATCTAACTAATTAATTTGAGTTTACCGCTGAATATGTATCTGGTAGTCAAAAAGAGATCTCTTCCGAACTCGATCTTTAAAAAAAGCATCGTATTTTTGAAGACTGATAGGTATCAAAGTGCGATTTTATAGGTTAAGTTACGTTTTTGTAATAAGACAACAAGTGACAAAGAATAAAATAAAATAAAGCATGGTAAAAACAATATTACCTACACTTTATAAAATTACTTAGAGCTCACAACTACATCTGAATCTGGTTGGAACTATTATTTTGTGCATAAACGATACATGTAGCGATCCTATTACAGGCAATTATAGACCACGTCAGTTAGAGTATGAAACCAAACCGTCTGCGAGTAATTACTCAGTCAGGGTGAGCTAGTGGCGAGCTCGCGGCGGCGGGTCGGTCACCGGCGCGGCTCGGTCAAGGTAGCTGCCGAGAGGATTGCATTTCACACCAAACCTTGACACCACGCTGATACTATTGCCATCTACCATATACATCCATACATGTCATATATAGCACATGTCATCGGTAGATGTATCAGTTCTGAAGACGAACTCACTCTGTTATTTAGTAATCATAGAAGTTTGATTGTTTACATTTCGTACTAAATAAGAAATAACTTGGCACAGGTTTACTTTTAATAAATACTTCTATTGAGTGCTTTCAAAAGTATACATACTTATAATTATAGATTATTTTCATATAGGCACATCTAAGGTATCACATCTACATACCTACTAGTACAACTTAAATCAATGTCTTTATAAAGTCGTTCATTCGAATGAAGTTCGTGGAATAAGGCGAAAGTAATATTGCAAAATGTCTCCATGATAAGTATCTTGTGGACGGTATCTAAGAACACAAACTTACAGTTCATAATAATATGAAGGCCAATCCATGTATTTCTAATCGCTAGGTCAAATATTAGATTTATTCGTGGTCACTATAAGTATTAATACTGCATCAATAGTTGAACAGCTTGTGTTTAATTACATGAATAAATTAACGAATAGTGCAACTCGTGGACTTGCAAATGAGACTTATCATAAAAATGCACCATACAGGTAATATACTGACGTCAAGCAGCGAAAAAACTTTTATAAATAAATAACCCTACAAGTATGTAAACACTAAACAGATTCTATATAAAGACTTACGACCTTGAAGCCGTTGTCCTTCATCTTTCAAAGGGTATCAAGAATATTGCGCCTCGATAACACATCTCCTCTACCGTAACACTAGTGACATCACGCTGGTAATCAAAGCCAAGGTCACTCGCACCGGACCCAGTGACCCTCACCTACTGCACGTAACCACGTGACCTTCCACATCTGCAACCGCGGCCGCGGACCCTCAGTTTAATTAAAATGAAATTTCGTAAACTTATGTCACTGCCGATGAACAGCTGACATGCTTATGTTACATCAGTATTATTTACTAGAATTATTTTACCTTTATTGACTTATTGAGCTTACGAGATAGTTCACTCAAAATAGGCATTTGTGTGCAAGGATATAAGTTTGAACTCTACTTGGCCTGTTTCACAAGGTTTAATCAAAACGGAATAACAGTTTATTGAACAACTGTGTACATCCCTTTTAACTAATTCTAGACATCCGGACAAATATTAATAGGTGAAACGTACTGGAAGCGTTTCTAAATAACTTTTGTGTTTCAGTATTTTATTAGTTAATCTGTATATAATTAGTAAATACTGCTCAACTCGCCATGTGCATAGTGATAGTGACCTCAACACCGCTAAATGTTGAAGGTTGTCACGAGGTTTTCATTACAGTAACAAATATTAATTTTCCAGTACGTTCAGAACAAATTGTAAAAGTAGTAAATCAATGTCTTGTGCCTCAAACTTGTAACTTATCAAAGCCTCGCAAAGTTCCAGAACATTATTTTCAATAGTCTGAAACTTTCCGACGATAAAATTAACATACTTTTTCAATATTTCCAGGCGCCGCTGCCGCCTCCCACGTGGACGGGGATCTTCGACGCTGTCGACGAGAATACCTGGTGCCCGCAGTACTCCTCAGGCATCATCATCGGCAAGCCGAACTGCTTGAAGCTCAACGTCTACACCCCCACTCGGATCACTAAACCTTTGCCCGTGATGGTCTTCATCCATGGAGGATGCTTCTTCAGCGGCACTGGATCCCCATTCCTTTATGGAGGAGACTTCTTAGCAGAAAACAATGTTGTCTTCGTCGGCATTAATTACAGGCTTGCTGTGGAAGGGTTCCTTTGCTTGGGTATAAAAGAAGCACCAGGGAATGCAGGGCTGAAGGACCAAATTGCGGCTCTAAAATGGATTCAGCAGAACATAGAGGCGTTCGGCGGCAACCCTAACGACGTTACGATATTTGGAGAAAGTGCCGGTGCTGTGTCTACTTCGTTTTTGATGCTGTCTCCTGCTGCTAGGGGACTATTTCATAAAGCTATACTACAAAGTGGCTCTTCATTGGTCCCATGGGGTCTTCAGCATGACCCAATCGGGACAGCCAGCGTTCTAGTCAAAAAGTTAGGTTATGATACCAAAGATCCAAAAGAAATTCATAAAATATTATCCAATAAGTCAGCCAAAGAAATACTGGACACTATCAGTCAGTTTGAAGATAAATACTGCGTTGCTGAAAAAGATTTGTTTGTTCCGTGCATTGAAAATCCAATAGAAGGAGTGGAGCCCGTGGTGACGGAATACCCGACTGATATCTTAAAGTCTGGCAACTACACTAAAGTGCCGATGATAATAGGCTATACAGACATGGAAGGAATATATTTCGCAGCAGCAGACTATGGTACTAGTATCAAAAACAATTCAAAACCAATCGAAATCTTTAACTCACTGCAACCAGATATGGAGTTCCCGAGTGAGATCGAGAAGAACTGCACAGGTGAGGTGATAAAGCGTCACTACTTCTCGTCGTACGAGGCGGACCTGATCACCAACATGGTGGAGCTGTACTCGGACGTGCACTTCAAGATCCCGCTAGTTCTGGAGTCGGAGCTGTACACGCGGACCTCGCACCAGCCTATCTACTACTACTTGTTCCGGTACGGCGGGCTGAGGAACATGCCCAAGATAATATCGGGCTTCCACAACATGGTGCAGGGCGCGTCACACGCGGACGAGCTGTTTTACCTATTCAAGCCGCACGCGTTCCCCTTGCTGCACTCCGTGGAAAAGCACATGATCACCAGGATGGTCACCATGTGGACTAACTTCGCAAAATATACGTGAGTATTCTGTACTTTGACTGGGGTGTGATGTGTAGTAGGCTTACTCAGTATTGATTGATTTACTCATTAGATCCCAAAATACATTGTGATGATGTATGTAATCCATATGTAGTACTGGATACAGAGAAATGTGCTCATAAAATTTTATGCGTTCAATTTCAGTTATTAATCTTGATACAAGTTCCAATAGAAGTCCATACAAATGCTCTAAATAAATTAATGAATTAATTGTAAAATAATGATACACATAACAGCGTCTAGGGAAAAATACACAACGATTAGTTTTATAAAATAGCTACGCAACTACTTCTTATAGACCATTAACACAAATCATATTTAAGTAACGAGTTGGGTCATTAGCTGGGGAGTTTAAATTGATAGAATGTTCATTATAGACACCCACTTGTCATTAGAGATTGACGAGTGACATTGTATTGATTTAGAAGACTACAAAGTTCCAATAACTTCAATGATTGCACCTCTGATCTCTCCTTCGGAGAGTAAAAGGAGATGATCGTGTTGTGACACGATCATCTCCACATCATTCGATCGTGGTACAGATTGACGCAACATGCCGCGATATATCCGTCTTATTGGCGTGTATCTCCACGCGCGTCACGTCTCTATCATAATAAAGTGTTCACTAAATATGCATTTGTATGCAGCTGTGCACTGCACTGCAATACTCCTAGTATGGTGGACTATGTTGTAATTGCCGTTAAATGTAATTGGAGTCTGTTTTACTGTTTATGTAGCATGGGTTCGACTACTGCACAGAAAGAATACTTGGTGTGATCAAAAGATGAGCAATTAGCAAGTAGCAATTTACAACAGGGGTACATTTAGGTGTCTGTTATACACAAACGATATTGAAAAGAGTGCAAGTGTGTTGAATTAACGAGGTCGCGTCTGAACAGCTTGTTACTTACACTACTTATAAACAATTTTCCATTCTTCCAGTGACCCCACTCCGCACCGCTCCCCACTGACCCCGTTCCGCTGGCAACCGTCTCGGCGCCACAACCCGACGGCGCTGATCATTGACTCCAAGCTGTCCACCGCTCCCCTGTGGGAGCACTCCTCCGTCAGACTATGGAACGACACATACAACAAGTACCGCAGGAAAAACTACGGAGTCAAGCAGTACCAGCAGGATAATAGCGTACTCTCTATAGATCACTTTAAGTCATAACGTAAACTATCAATTTCCACTCGTCATTCATTCTGTTAAGAAACAATTTGTGAAACTGAAATAGTATAATCTATCTGGAAGATGACTAATGCTATATGTATAGGCTAATCATGACACTCTGGTACTCCACAATTCGTCTACTCCAACAGTCGTCAATTTTGAGACAAATATGAAGATCCAACTCAGGCGCTTTATATGTAGAGGTATAACACTACAATCAGCTCAAGTTTGTCTAAGTGCCTGCGTCATAGATGCTGTATGAATGCAGCTACGAGTTTGTATTTTGCTCAAATACATATATTAGGCACTTCTGATCTCGCTCTAAGTCCCTACTTCTTAAATAATTTTATTCATTGTCATACCGATCTATGCATTAAGTTATTAATTAGTTTATGTAAGGAAAACATTTTGTGTTATATTTATTACTGGTGATTGTATACCGGTATTCATACATATTGTTGATAGAGTAAGTTTATTTAATTCATTTAGGTGTGCATTGGGAGGGCAGCCATTGAACATCTATATAATTATTTATGAAAGAATAAAAAAAAGTCCTCAACTTCAGAATTTAGATAAAATTTGTTGTATTTATATTATCTTTATGTCATGAATTATGACGTAGGTATATATTAATTTATTTGGTGCGTATAATTAAAGCGTATATACTTAAACAGATTTTGGCCATAACTCGATATAAAAGTATGTATAAGGAAATGTATAACAAAGTTACCGTCGTTTTGTGCAGGGACGAGTGGTTCTACTAAGTAATAGTAATTTAGTTGTAGTTTAGTATAGTTGTGTGCGGTGATAACTGTCTAGTCGAATGTATGTTGGATAGTTGACTAGTGACTAGTGAGAGATAATGTAATGTTGTAAACGTGAGTCCTCTGTACATTACGTGTTATGTGGTTATGTTAAGTATTGTGATTCCGGGTGTGATATTACCATAATAAAAGTACTATGTCAGTCTGGTGTTGTTGTTCTTTAAGTTTTTTCCCAAAATTCTATAAATATCATATTTATTTCGTATTTACATGATTATGTTCGAAGTTCAAGCTTCCAATAACTTCTATGTTCTTCCTAATGCATGCGTGGATAATCAATGTGTTGTTCGTCATTGTAACCCTCTGCTAGTATTGTTTTTCGGGGATTTGTCTGCGTGATAGTCACTATGTTGCCGGTGCCCGACGTTCGAGACTACAGAATCGTGTGATAGTCTTTATCATTTAAAAAATATAAGCAATACACATTCATAGTAAGCCGGTTAACGTCACTTTATTTTGGTGTAGCAACACCTAGTTCAGCACATACGTCACATACGTGGGGCGTAAGCAGCATGCTACGTAACAGTGGGTTACGTCGTAGCAGTGCTTAACCCACTACCGTCACTGAGGTGTAGCGAGTGGCACGTGAGGCGTAGCCGATACCCGGCGATGTAGCATTGCTGTGCTACGTTATTAGTACGCTATGTTCGTAGCACTGACTGGGTTGTGGCGTAGCAGTGAGCGTAGCGAGTTGCGCGAGAGGCGTAGCCGATACCCGGAGATGTAGCATTGTATGTTACGTTAGCCGCACTGACTGGGTTGTGGCGTAGCAATGCGTGTAGCGATTGGCGACTAAAGCGTAGCAGATAGTGTAAAACAGCATTGCTGTGCTACGCAATAAGAATGCTACGTTTGTAGCAGTGGGTTGTAGCGTAGCAATACTATGTTGATTACTGTAAAATAACTCATGAAACGAGAGGCCTAGAAGACACTATAAGTCATAACATACACACACAATATTACGCAGCATGCGGTACAGCAACTGTGTTTCATAACTTTAGCACTAAAGATTAGGGATTAAAAGATATACCTAAATCAAAATTCCATATTTCCTTTTGTTAGTTCCGCAAAAATACGTAAAGCGACCTGTCTACCCGATCTTTGTTCTACAACAAAATGATTTAATGAAAAGCAAATAGGTTGGATCCGATGCAGCGTAATGGGGCTGACTCTCAGATATTTGAATAGGGCCCGTGGCTCTCTAATTGAGCCGCTGCCGCTGTCGACCTCAGATTGTTTGATCTTATAATGTATTGATGTATCACAACTGAGGGCCTGCCAGGGAAGCTGGACACATACAAATAGTATTGTGCCAGTTATTAAAGAACAATTCTGAATTAAGAATCCTATTTATTTTTGTTATTCAGTTTTAAAATTACTATGTATTCGTAATAATAGTTCGTCAAGATCTTGTGACATAAAAAGCACTACAATACCAACATCATTCGTTCATGTATAGAAAGGTTATGTAGTTTAACTAAGCTATCAATAGTGTATCTAAAAACTATAAACTAGGAAGTCATTGTAGATAAACTAAAGAGTTACATAACTAGTTTAGAAAATCCTACGACATCCCGGAGATGGTCGCCTTGGGAACTAATAAAGATAGCACTAGTAGCTTGTTTCAGCAATTTAAAATGAACAATAAACATAAATAAGCTGTAAGTTGGTCGTCTGATCGTGTGTTCTGTGTCATCAGGTAATGGAGGAACTTGAGCTGCAACCAACCGACTGCAGCCGAATATAAATTGGTTTAGCTTTTAATGTAGAGATGATTTAGATTCACGTTTAGCACAGTAGCTGGGCGGTCGGCTACTGCGGTACCTGTTATGAATTCGATTTCCACAAGCAACAATTCTTTGTGCGAACCACAAATTGGTGTTTGTAGTTTAAGTGTGATGTGTGGTTGAAAATTAGTATTTTAACGCACCCACGACGCTTGAAATATCCTTAGTCCTAGGTTACGTTAAAACCAAACCAGATACCTATTAGATAGTGCTTTACATTAAAACAGTAACAGCACTAGACATAAAACAACTTGTTAATTAATATCAAGGTGCTTTAAACATTACTTAGTAAGCAGTAAGTAGTTCATTGCTTTTAATTTATTAGCGAGTAAACCCGCAGACAAATACTGTCTAGTGTCAGAATATTTAATGGTTAATGAAAATTGAGATATCTCTAAATTCACTGAGAGACACATTTCTCAGAAAGTTTTGCAGAATTTTGTGAAAATTCTGAGCTGAATATTTGGGAACGTTGAACTGAGACCTTGAGGCAATATTGTATGAATCAGAATATACTATAAGAGACATTATTTATGTATTTGATTCAGTCTGCGACTAGACATATAGTTCTCGTGCTTACACATGTTTATTAAACCACTACAGACATGAATATTTGTTTTTTGTAATTATATTTGCTTGTACTATGATCTGAGAAGTATGTAATTTACATCAGTAGTCATTTGTATGTTTAAATTAATTAATTATTATGTTTTTCGGCTTACTCACGAAATTATTTGACGAGGACTAGTTTCAGACTATCGAAAAACATAATAATTAGTTTTCATTTTTGTGGTAACACTAGGAAGGGCGCATCGCAGCATAGGACAGGTGCACCCTAAAATGCATGCTCTGGTTACATACATAATTGTTACAGTCCCGTCAAGGAGAACGTAAGGATTGTACCAGATAGCGCTCAGTGGTTTTGGCCTATCATCGTAGGACAAAGACGTGAGCATAGATCACCAACCAAAATATGAAAATAAATAATTTCATCTGCGTTTTGTTTTTAATATCTATCTAATAATAAATAAGTTATAACATAACATGAAACAGTAATAGTTTAATGAAAATACTTGGCACATAGAAATCTTAACTCCGATACAACTCGGGCTTCAAACTCGCAAAGTAATAGTTTGTCAACTTACAAGTAAGAAAATTAGCGTCACTCGTACTAACTCTTCACATACGTACGAGTGTATGTTCGTACATAATTATGTCAGTGTACTGAGACTACAGTCGGCAGTCGGCACAATCGTCCAAGTTGTCTGATCAAGTTTACAGCAGTTATCAGTCCCGCCGCGATGTTACAAATTGTTGCAATCCCACACTTTGCGTAACTTAAATTAAAACTCCTACATCTAGCAGTATTCACTCAAGAATTGTAAATGTCTAAATTCTTAAGTACAAAGATATGACAATTAATCAACGAATTATGTTCACTGAACATTATTCAAGTGCTGATTGCATTATGAATTTTTAGTGTCAGTAATTTAACATCACGGTATACGTGAATGAGTATTAATACACACCGTATTAATTTGTGTGACTTAGTCAGAACTACATACTTGCTAAGTTGATTGATTAATTATCTCATTCTGGAGTAAACTATAATAAAATTTAGTTCTAAACTATAGTAAGATTAAGAGCCACGTTTACTAAAGTTATTTCTTTATATAAAAGTATGGAAACCGCGGAGTGCGCACAATAAGAGCTATTTAACGGCGCAATAAACGGAGCAATCGCACAGCATTCATATATAAAGCATAATTAAGCGCAAGTCGGTACGGTTGCGACGAGCGGGCCGCGCTAATCCTGGTAATAAAGAAAAATACCCGGGAAGCGGCGGCTAATTGTTATAAACTGGGCAAACATGCAAATTGGACGAGGAAAGGACTTCCTCGGCGTTTTAATTCAAAAGTTATCTCGTTGGACGGGCTCCACACCGGCGCTCGGGGTGGCCCCCGGCGCTCCGGCCGGCTCTAAGGCCCGCCCGACAGGTTCCAACGGAAAAGGCGCTTTTTTAAGCAAGGAATCAATTTAGCGTTCGCTGCGTGAATTTGTTTTGATTGATTAAACAACAATTTAGTTAAGAGCGAGCTCAGTTGGCTCGGTATTGATGATACTGTAAACTTTGCGCTCGGATTCTTTGGAAGTAATTGTTTGAAGAATTTTGGGTTACATCGGTCTGCAGCCCCTCCATTTAATAAAAGTACTCGTGGGTACAAGCTTCGATAACGTCAAGAACATTTAATATATTAAAAACTAGTGAATTGAATCAGACATTACTGGATACTTAACAAACGACAAAGAGACTGATCATATATTATATCATTTCTAAAACACAAACGTTATAAGTTTATTTTTCTAAATACTCTAATTAGACAGTCATATATTTACAGGTAATAGTATCATAAATATGATAAAGAAGGCGTCGTAATTCCGAAAGATATTCCAGCTCCAGTATGAAGCGGCCTTAACAGACGGAGAGCGCGCGGGGCAGAGGGCAGCTCTGTATTATATGACTATTTATTTTTAATGCACTTACTATTATTGTTTGCGACTTCTCATTCGTTAAAAACCTATTTTCATTTTAAGTTTAGCCAAGAGATGGCTTCTTTGAAATCTGTCTCGAACGTTTCTACAAAATTGTTTTATGCAAAGTAAGTAATTGTGCCCGTCTCACTTTAAGAAGGGGCGTGAAGATAAGCAGTTAGCAGTGGTGACACTTGTTTTTAATATTTTAAACTATTTTGTACTGAAACTTAAAACGTATTGGTATTAAGTATTAAAACCTTCTAAATAAATACATACTTAAGTACATACATAACTTCACGCCTGTCCCATGGAAGTAGACAGAGGCTATGGAACGCCAATTACTACGATACCTACATACCTCTTTCGCTTCATCAACAGTCATCAGTCTTTTTATGCATGTTCGTCGGTTAAGGGTACTTTTAATTTGGCCCTTCTTTAATATATAATATAAGGCGCCCTCTACCGATGGTCCC